AATCTTTGGGGCACTCCGCTAGAAACCAACCGCCATCCTGACATCAAGCCATTGATCACTACCCACTGGGCCCGGCCTTTCTATCCATCTTACTGTCCATTTATCCAATCCATATTCCCTTAACTTGCTGGCAAGAATATTATGGGAGACGGTATCAAAAGCCTTGCTAAAGTCAAGGTATGTCACATCCACTGACTTTCTCATGTTCACAGAGTCAGTTACCTCATATAGAAACTAATCAGACTGGTCAGGCACAACTTGCCCTTTGTGAATCCATGCTGACTATTCCTAATCACTTTCCTCTCTTCCAAGTGCCTCAAAATGGATTCCTTAAGGATCAATTCCATGATTTTTCCATGAACCAAGGTAAGACTGACCGGCCTATAGTTCCCTGGATTGTCCTTCTTCCCTTTTTTGAAGATGGGCACTACATTTGCCTTTTTCCAATCATCTGGGATCTCTTCCAATCTCCACGACTTTTCAAAAATAATGGCCAAAAGCTCCTCAATGACATTTGCCAACTCCCTCAGTACCCTCAGATGCATTAAGTCTGGACCCATGGATTTGTATATGTTTAGCTTTTCTAAATAGTTCCTAAACTGTTCTTTCCCCACCACGGGCTGTCCATCTTCATCCCATCTTGCGTCAGTCCAGGAACATTAGTCCAGGAACTGCGCATTAGTCCACACACAGTGCGGACATGGACCTTCCACTTTCCAAAATCAGGTGGTAAGAAATTGACTTTAACAAATTCGACCTTATCCCAGAATGAAGACATGACCCAAGACAAATGGAGGGTGCTGAATCTACAGAGGAAAACCCAAATGTAAAATCTGGAATGGGGAAACACTGGCTTGGCATTAGCACGGCTGATATAGATATGGGAGCTTTGGTGGATCTCAATCTCAAGATGAGTCAGCAAGGTGGAGCTGTTTTAAAAGAAGCAAATGAAAATTGCACATTGCCTTAAGGATGAAACCGAAACCAAAAAACTTCATGATACTCCCTGAAGCATCTGTTCACCCATAAACAAGTCCTGGGTTCCCTTCGAACCAGTGCTGTGTCCCTACAAGAACTCCCAGCCTTGCTCAAGAGAAAGGTTCTAATGCCTGGATCTAGAGTCTGTATCAGTTCCACTGGGATGTCATCTTCTCACTGAGCCTGCTGGGGGCTCTGCTCTGCTCTGCCTGTCTCCAGCACGCTGGCCCCCCCACTAAAGTTTTTCCGTTAAAAGCATTTGTGGAAAAGAGCGTCTAGATTGGTCTGCAAAAAGTGCTTTTGCGAAAAAGTGTCCATGCCAATCTAGACAGCGTCCGTGCCAATCTAGACATGGTTTTGCGCAAGAAAGCCCCGATCGCCATTTTCGCCACTGGGGCTTTTTTGCGCAAACCAGTTTTTAGCTGTCTACACTGGCCCTCTTGCGCAAAAACATTTCCGGAAAAGGGCTGTTGCCCAAACGGGAACGTCAAAGCATTTGCTCAAGAAGCACTGATTTCGGACAGTAGAACGTCAGGGCTTTTGTGCAAAATCAAGCGGCCAGTGTAGACAGCTCGCAAGTTTTTCCGCAAAAGCTGCTTTTGCAGAAAAACTTGCCAATCTAGACGCAGCCGGGGAGTTTTCACATTTTGTTTCATTGTTCTCTAGGTCTCCCTAGCAAATTGTATTTGTCACAAGTACAGGTGGCGGGAGGTGCACTGCTCTATGGTGCCTAACGGTGTGGTTGAAAAGTTGAGGGGAGGGATAGCTCAGTGGTTTGAGCATTGATCTGCTAAACCTAGGGTTGTGAGTTCCATTCTTGAGCAGGGTGTTTAGGATTCTGTGTCAAGGATGGTACTTGAGGGTAAGGGACTGGACTTGATGACCTCTTGAGGTCCCTTCCAGCTCTATAAGATGGTATATCTCCTTATATTAGGTTGCTGCTGGTTGATTGCTGAGTCAGTCCAAGCACACCTCCTCACCTTGCCTAACCCTCTTCCCCAGCCAAATCAGGCATGTGAAAGTGAGGCACCCTCTTGCTCAAGGGAGTTGGAAGATCCAGCTCCTCCGAACTCAGCCCCTCAGGTCATTTGTTAAGTGAGGATGAAAGGGAAAAAAACAAAGCAAACTTTGCATGTGAGCCAGAGATTCCAAATGAAAGAGATGCCCATGTACATACCAACACGCGCACACAAACCAAAAAGCATATTGGACTTGTCCTTCCTCTTTGCCTGCACATTCAGGTGAGGGACCTTGTCAGAGGCTTTCTGAAAATCTAAGTACCCTATCTCTACCCGATCATCCTGGTTCACATGGTGGTTGACCCCCTCGAAGAATTCTAGTGGATTGGTGAGGCAGGATTTCCCTTTACAAAAAGCCATGCTGACCCTTCTCCAACATGTTATGTTCTTCTGTGTCTGATAATTGGTGTGTAGTACCTGGTACTTTGTATTCTGATCTGATTAATAGGAAACAGTACCAGATAAACCCATGCAGGTTTGTTTCCTTGCTGTCGATAATGGAGATGCACTGGAAACATGCAATAAAGTGGCCAACGCAGAGGGAACACACCAGAAACCTGTCCAGACATGCGGCCAAATCCTTCAGGCAGCAACTTCTGATCCACTGATCTTGTTCTGCAAGGCAATTTTCCCTCTCTTGTTAGTCTCATCTCCACATCAATTGCTGTGAATGAATCACTTCCACCCTGACTTGATTAGTCTCACTAACACAAGAAACTTCTTTCTTTTCCTGTCCTTATATATCCCCTGCCTCTAGAACTTCCACTCCAATTCATCGGATGAAGTGGGTTTTCCCCACGAAAGCGTATGCCCTGATAAATCTGTTGGTTTCTACCATCTTGTGTGTTTCACAATTTAAACTTGTCTTTTTTGGACATAGGGAGTGAGTGAAGACTGAAAATAGAAATGCAATAAAGGCAAATCTACGATTGTACACAGTTTTAAGGTCAAATTTCAGTAAGTGAATGTACAAGAACTTCTTGTGTGCATGCTAATAATGTCAGCTATTCCGAAATAACAAGGAGCACATCTACACTACAAGCCTTTATTTTGATGTGATGTTGAACTGGAGGACTTCTTCCTCCTACTCCTGTAACCCTCATTTCACAAGGGCTGTGTCCAGACTCAGGGGTTTTTTCGGGAAAAGTAGCCTTTTCCCGAAAAAACTTCCCCTGCGTCCAGACTCAAGCCGCGTTCTTTCGAAATTATTTCAAAAGAACGCGGCTTTTCTTTCGATGGCGGTAAACCTCATTTCACGAGGAAGAACGCCTTCTTTCGAAAGTTCCTCTTTCGAAAGAAGGCGTTCTTCAATGTAAAGAGGCCGTCTTCGAAAGAGAGCATCCAGACTCGCCGGGTGCTCTCTTTCGAAAAAGCAGATTTCTCTTTCGAAAGATCCACCTGCAGTCTAGACGCGATCTTTCGAAAGAGGCTCTTTCGAAAGATGCTTTCGAAAGAGCCTCTTTCGAAAGAAGCCTGCAGTCTAGACATAGCCAAGGAGTACAGGAAGTCGGAGGAAAAGTGTTGTTCCTTCATCTTCCTGTTGTGTAGACAGCGCCAAATAATGAAATAAGCTATTTCGACTTCAGTTACACAATTGACATCGCTGAAGTTGCGCAGCTTATTCCAACTTTAGCCCTTCTGTGTAGGCATGCCATAAAAGTAGCCACTGGACTCCTTATTGTTTTTGCGGATACAGACTAGCCCAGTTACCCCTCTCTGACTTAATTTTGGAGTCAGTCCCTTTGAACTCCCCGGCTCTTCCGTTTTTAGAGAAAACTAGTACAGAACGGAGTTCCCTTTGGAGAGCTGAGTTCTGCAGAAGTAAAACAGGGAATCGACCATTGTGATATGTGGATACGATGCTCCAAAATAAGGGGCCTGTGTTATGTAATATAAAGTAAGAAAATGACACTCAGCAACTGGCATCTTTAGATTTCTCTTACTGCAGCTTTCTGCATGGTGTAGTTGGGGGAGAGACCCTAAACCTAGTTCACAAAAGAAAAAAGCCATAAGGATTTGCAGAGCTAAACCTTTTTTTTTCTATCAACTCCCAACACAGCAAACAGCTTGGGAATTAACTCATCAACTCACATTTATACGAAAAGGCACAGAGAGGGTCTTGAGGAACGGTGCATTGCAACGTGAGTTAGTGAAGTTACTAGCCAGTTGAGACTCTCAGCCCTATCCACATCCTAATCCACGTCATTTTCTCCCAGTGAGCAGTTTTCCATTTGATGTTTCATTCTCACGAGTAGACCCTGCATCTTCTTGTCCTGCTTCCAGTTGACACGTTTTCCCCAGGGAATGGAATGTTTCGAAATGTTCCCAAAGCAGGTCTCTTTTACACCCATGAGCCAGGAAAGTTTTTTTCTGTAGCAAAAGTGTGGTGGGAATAGAGAAATCTGTGGGTGTCCTGAACAATGCCTTCCCTTCTTCTTTCCAGTCCGCTCCACGTTTCCTTTCTTTGCTGCCTCGGCCCTTTTCTCTATATTTGTCTCTCTGTCGGTAAGACAATGTCTTAACTAACTTACTCCTCCGCCCTGCTTAGTTAAGATCAGCCACCACCTAAGCACAGACCAAAACAATCCGACCCAACCTGTGTCTCTTTGCACATGTTACTGCAGTCTGCTAAGAAACAGAAATTATAAGCCAAGAACTCGCAGGAAGCAAGAGCATGTAGTTAAGCTGAGCAGACCAGAGCCGTTCATTCGTGTTTTATGAGATTATAAGTGTGAGTGTAGCATGTTTGCGATGAGATGTAATTGTAACTGTTACTTTCAAATACAAAATTTAATATTTTATTGGTGATTTAAAAAAAAAGTCAATAAAATTGAATTTATATTAAAAAATCTGATTTTTGTATCCACCCCAGAAATAATCCAAAGTAGTAATAACATTTGAAATTCTGTCTTGTTGTAGTTGTCTCCCAGCGACAGTCAATGAACCGCTGACACTGCCTTTCTTTGTTTTGGTTAAGACTCATCTGTCCAAGGACAAGCAAGAATGTTTAAGAAAATGAAAATTGGGCTCGGGATCACTTTTCTCTTTGTCCTGGCCTTTGTCTATAAACGTTCCCGGCCGCCTGGCTGCCTCTTCTCATGCGAGCGGAGTCCTGAGCATTTTCTGATGGAAGCGGATGACGTGAGCCAGAAGAGCGGCATCATCTTTGTGGAGGCCACAGACCGCCTGTTGATTCCTCCATTGGTCTCATGTTCTGTGGAATCTGCTGCCAGGGCCTATCCAGACAGACCTGTTCTTTTCTTCGTGAAAGGAATGAAAAATAACACATGGCGGGATTCAGTTTCCACTTCCCCAGCCTTCACTCTTTTGTCTGCAATGGAGAATGTCTTCCTTCTTCCTTTTGAGATGGAAACTGTTTTCCAGGACACACCTCTGCTCCCATGGTATCACAAGGTGAGAGGAAATATTAAGGGGGGAGTATTTTTTGAACGAGATTCAAAGTAGAGGTGGAGGGAAATGAAGGGTCGGCACATTTTTGTTCAGGTTTTGAAGCTGTTGTCGTTTTGCTGCACCAATTGTGGACCCCTTTTTCATGACACTTTGCCGTGCAATAGTCAAAATATTGATTGAAATTGTTATGGACCTTGTGTTATGGACTCCTGATGGCAGGAGTTATGGAAAATGCAGCATTTCCATCATAATTTCAATAACCATATGTTGTCAATGTGGTTAATCCCCCCCTTTTCCAGAAAGGCAAGAGATTGATACAAACGTTGTATTTGAAACATTTCAGTCAGCATGAATGTAAAGGGAGGATTCACTATTTGGGAAACATGACTTCAGTGCTTGTTGAAGTTATTTGACAACACCTAGTTCCAAGCTCCTGCAGTGAGAGGGCGCTGGGGTTGTCCTCTCTCCTTCAGGCAGCCTGTGTACTGGACCCCTCTCGTCCAACCCCACCCCGGAGCAATGACTTAATGAAGAAAAACAAAAATGAATTGAGTTAAGGCCCCGAGCAAGGCCGGGTAAATCTCTAGTTTGTTTGTAAATGAAAGTGAAGAGTCTGGGGAATAAATCGGCAGTTGGGTGCGATATTGGTACACCCGGCCCGCTCTGTCCCCAATAACCTGAGACCTGAATTTCTCTCTCATTTTTTCATCCTCTGCAGAGATTGCCAGGAGGGGCCTGTTCTAGAGCCCCCTGGAATTAATGAGAATTTCTCAGTGGATTCATACGGGCTTTGGATCAGATAGTGAGTGTGTCAGTGGAGATGTGTGTGTGTGTGAGGCAGTTTTTTGGGGAAATAACAGTTCACAGTTCATGATAATGAAGGGTAATAGTAATGGAGAGCTACATACAACTGAGGTGGTTAGTTAGACAGATATGAAAAGGCACAGTGCCAAAAGAACACCAAAAAGGTGCCACTGTGGCTGAACAACACAATAAAAGAAGCAGTGAGAGAGAAAAAAAAAATCCTTAAAATATGTGAAGACAGTAGAAAGGAGCACAAACTCTGACAAGTGTAAAATACAATTAAAAAAAACAAACAAACAAAAAAGAATGTGAAGAACGGCTAGTCAGTCTCAAAAAGTAATAGCAAAAAGGACAGGAGAAGCAGGAAGCCAACTAACCCACCTGTAGGGCCACTGGATGATCGAGATGCTAAAGAAGCACTCGAGGGCGATGCAGAGAAAATACATTAACTCTTGGCATCGATTTTCATGACTGACGATGTAAAGGAGACTTCCAAACCCGAGTCGCTTGTTTTAGGAGACAAATCTGAGGCGCGGTTCCAGACTGAGGTGTCATCAAAGGAGGTTTTGTAACAAACTGGTCAATTAAACTGCAATGAGTCACCAACAGCAGACGACACTAACCACAGAGTTCTGAAAGATCTCAGATATGGAATCGCAGAACTACAAGCGGTAGAGTCAGCGGGGTGGCCTTGTTAGTCTGTACAGGCAAAACTAATGAGGAGACCTGGGGCACTTTAAAGATGAACAAATTCATTTGAGAATAAGCATGCATGAGCAAAGTCGATGCTTCTGACGAAGTGGGTCTTTGCCCACAAAAGCCTATGCCCAAATCAAACTGTTAGGCTGTGTCTAGACTGGCAAGTTTTTTCGCAAAAAACTTGCCAACTGTCTACACTGGTCACTTGAATTTCTGCAAGAACACTGACGATCGCATGTAAGAAATCAGTGCTTCTTGCAGAAATACTATGCTGCTCCCATTCGGGCAAAAGTTCTTTTGTGCACAGCTCAGATTTGTTTTGCACAAAAAAGCCCCGCTTGCGAAAATGGCGATTGGGGGCTTTTCTGCGGAAAACCGCGTCTAGATTGGCACAGATGCTTTTCTGCAAAAAGTGCTTTTGCGGAAAAGCGTCCGTGCCAATCTAGACGCTCTTTTCCGCAAATGCTTTTAATGGAAAACTTTTCCGTTAAAAGCATTTGCAGAAAATCATGCCAGTCTAGACGTAGCCTTACTGTTGAAGGTGCCACAGGACTCCTCACTGTACTTTGCAACCTATCCTTTAATTCAACTTCTGGAGGGTAGCTAATGTGACACCAATTTTTAGAAAGGGTTCATGAGCTGGTCCCAGCAATCACAGGCCAATAAACAGGGGCACTATTTGAGTTTTTGGTGGGTCGGGGGTGACCTGTGCATGCCACGATGGGGGAAGTGGTGGAGGAGTTGAGGGCATGGTGAAGCAGACTGGGGACAGTGGCTTCAGAGATGTTACTGAGCATGCTCAGTATAAGACAAGCACCAAATGGGGAGAGGGAGCCAATTCCTTCCGCCCTCCCCACATCTTCTTTGTCCCAAGGGTTACTAAGGCACTGGAAAACTCTGCTTTTTGGGCAGACAACTCAGCAGTGAGCTGACAGGAGCACTGTAACTAATTCCTATATAAAAGAAAGAACGTTCAATAAATATTAGACCCATTCAGCTCTCACACTAATGTGTTCTGACATCTTGTGGCAAGTCACTTGAAGAAGTGGGCTGTGCCCATGAAAGCTACCATCTACATGTTTTGTTAGTCTATAAAGTGCTACCAGACCATCTGTTGTTTTTTAAGTTTAACCAGCCTTTTGTTATTCTTAATCCCCCTCTCCCTCCCTCTTTTTATAACAAACACCCTGCTCCAAATGCAAAGCTGGAAAGAGCCTGGCCTGTTCCCTTTGAGAACTGCCTCTCAAGCATGAAATCCAGGAGTTCAAACTTGGGAGGGGGGCTGCTGCCCCCTCAACCCCGTATAAATGATGCCTCTGTGAGCAATAAATCTGACTCTAGTACCTAGATATATGGTTGAAATTAGAGTAAAGAACATGTCGATGAACATATTTTGTTGGGAATGAGTCAATATAGTATTTGTAAATGGAAATCATGACTCATCAACCAACTAGACTTCTTTGTGGGGGGTCAACAAACATGTGGACAAGGGGGATCCAGTGGATGTAGTGTACTTAGATTTCCAGAAAGCCATTGACTAGGTCCCTCACCAAAGGCTCTCATGCAAAGTTAGCAGTCATGGGATAAGAGAGAAGGTCCTCTTGTGGACTGGTAATTAGTTAAAAGATAGGAATTAAATGGTAGGAGTAGCTGGTCACTTTTCAGAATAGAGAGAGGTAAATATTGGTTTCCCCAAAGGTCTGTTCTGGGACCAGACCTATTCCCATATAAATAATCTGGCAAATCATGGCCAACAGTGAGGTGGCAAACTCTGCAGCTGATACAAAACTGCTTAAGATAGTTAGGTCCCAGGCAGAGGGTGAAGAGCTCCGAAAGGATCTCTCAAAACTTTTGACTGGGCAACAAAATGGAAGATGAAAGTCAATGTTGGAAATGCAAAGTAATGCACCTTGCCAAACATAATCCCAACTGTACAAGTAAAATGATGGGGACTAAATTAGCTGTTAACACTCAAGAGCGAGATCTTGGAGTCATTGTGGATGGATCTCGGACAACATCCGCTCAGTGTGCAGTGGCAGTCAAAAAAGCTAAACAGAATGTTAGGAATCATTAGGAAAGTGATAGGTAGTAAGACAGAAAATACATAAATCCATGTTGTGCCCGCATCCTGAATACGGCATGCCGGGGTGGTTGCCTCATCTCAAAAAAGATATACTGGAATTATATAGAAAAGTGCAACAAAAATGATAGCGGGTATGGAACAGATTCTGTCTAAGAAGAAATGAATAAGACTGGTACTTCTCAGCATGGGAAGGAGACCTTAAAAGGGGGAGCTATGACTGAGGTCTGTAACACTGTAAGTGGTGTAGACAGATAAGGAAGTGATATTTACTCCTTCCAAAAGGGGTCACCAAATGAAATGAACCGGCAGCAGGTTTAAAACAAATCAAAGGAAGCATTTTTCATACCACACACAGTCAGCCTGTATTTTTGTGAAGGCCAAGACTATAACAGGGTTCAAAAAAGAACTAGATAAATTCATGGAGGATAGGGCCATCCATGGCTATTAGTCAGGATACGTAAGCATGTTGTCCCTATATTCTGTCTGCCAGAAGCTGGAAATGGGAGGGATCACTCAATGATTCCCTGTTCTGTTCATTCCCTCTGGAGCACCTGGCACTGGCCACTGGGCTAGATACTTAGTGTGACCCACTATGACTGTTCTTATGTTACTCTGATTCAGATTCTCATTATGTTATAACTCTTGGATGTTTCCTTGGGATTTACTGTGCCTTGGACACGCTTGTACAATGACACTGAACAAAAACTACATGGGATCTTGCCTTTTTCCAACACCGTGTCACACCTGAAAAAGAAAAACGGCTGTTAATTGACAAAGGGATTACGGTTAGGACACACACAGCTGAGAGTTTTATTATTTATTATTGATAATATTCTTACATAACCTCTCTATTAAAAATATTCGAGGAAGCTTACAAATGTTTTTTAAACATAATACAAATATATACAAAAAATTAAAATACAAGACCCCACAGGGACATAAAACAGCACATAGCTAACAGGAGAAGGTGTTGAGATGTTTCGAAGGGGTGTCAATTGCATCTCTGTGATTCTTTTTCAATCCTGCAGGTTAATCCAGCCCAGGAAAGGTACTGGCTGCATGTCAGCTCTGATGCTAGCAGGCTAGCACTCATCTGGAAATACGGTGGGATCTACATGGACACTGATGTCATCTCCATCAGGCCTATTTCACTGGAAAACTTCCTGACGGCCGAGGATTTCCAGTTTGCCGGCAGTGCGATTTTTGGCTTTTCTCGCCATCACAAGTTCATCTGGGATTGCATGGAGGATTTTGTTCAAAACTACAGAGGAGAAATTTGGGGTCACCAAGGTCCCAGGTTACTGACAAGGATGCTCAAGGCGTTGTGCCCTGTAACCAATTTCCATAACGTGGAGGATATAAACTGTCAGAACATTTCCTACTTACACCCTCAGCGTTTCTACCCCATCCCCTGCGGAGAATGGAATCGGTACTTCCAGGTCTGGGAGAAGAGCCCCGAGTTCAACAACTCCTATTCTATGCATGTGTGGAACTACATGAACCGGGAACACAAGCCTGTGGTTGCAGGAAGTAACACCTTATTGGAAAATCTCTACAAAACATACTGTCCCACCACGTACAAGGCCCTTATTCAAGGCCCTGTAGGCAGTGGTCCATAGGCAACGAAAGAAGACTGAATGACGGCATCTAGCAGAACAAGGTGACCATTGCAGCCCTGACAGTCCTGGGAATAAATGAATTGTACAAAACACAGATCTCCTCTGACTCAGAGACTCTCAGTCATTTTCTGCCCTCAGGTGACTTTCATAGAATCATAGAATCATAGAATACTAGGACTGGAAGGGACCTGGAGAGGTCATCGAGTCCAGTCCCCTGCCCTCATGGCAGGACCAAATACTGTCTAGATCATCCCTGATAGACATTTATCTAACCTACTCTTAAACAATTTTTCCAGTGTTTGACCACCTGACAGTTAGGAATTTTTTCCTAATGTCCAACCTAAACCTCCCTTGCTGCAATTTAAGCCCGTTGCTTCTTGTTCTATCCTCAGAGGCCAAGATGAACAAGTTTTCTCCCTCCTCCTTATGACACCCTTTTAGATACTTGAAAACGGCTCTCATGTCCCCCCTCAATCTTCTCTTTTCTAAACTAAACAAACAAAATTCTTTCAGCCTTCTTTCATACGTCAAGTTCTCTAGACTTTTAATCATT